AAAAACATGGCCGGTGGAAACAGATATTTTAGAACGGTCGCATCCTTCTGCGGAGACCGTTATCTCGTAGAAGCAGGCAACGGAGAGGGCCCGAGAGGACAAAATCCACTGGTACTTGGGCGGCGGAGGCGTGTTTACTTCGTGCCGCCCTGAGTGTGGCTGCGTGTGGACGGGACGGGTTTTCCCCTCCATTTGCTGTAATAGCCAGCCGCGAAGAAGTGACGTTTGCGTGTGCCGGTCGTTGCCTAAATAGAGAGGTGGTGAGCGCGCTGAGCGGTCAGGCGCTAGGCTGGTCCGGATGACTTATTTCCCCCTATTTCAGGCGCAGAGTGGCACACCGCGTGGTTTTAGTCGGTTCGATTCCTAAACTCCACCCCGTCGCAAACCCCGCTGAGGGTCAGATTACCCACCACTCCCACCAGCAGTGGACGTTTCAACACGTCATAAAAAGGCACGTAGACGTGTATCTTAGGGATCAGAGTTTGTTCTCGATGTCTTCAATTTATTACAACCGTTTATATTAGGGAGAGTGTTATATGTACATTGTATACGGTTGAATGTGAAGTGGGTGGTGTGTGTAAGTGCGTTTATGTTAGGAAAATTGTTTTATGATACTCTTTAAAAAAAAATCCGCGTCTTATCTAATCTTATATAAGTGACTGTAAAGTATCAATGACCTCTAATTTGAGGTGAATTTGTAGGAAATAAAACTGTGCCCTATCTTCGGGTTCAACCCATTAATCTTTTAAACTGCTAGTTGGGATAAAGAAAGCCGTGTGGTGTCGTGGGACACCCGATAGGAACGAAGTTGTGACGATCGAGTAAATCTGATTCGACACGATTTTAATTACAACGCCATCTATGAAAGTGGCTATTACCTACATATTTTTCAGTTGGTTTCTAATTAAAACAATTTATACATTGGTAAAATCTTCTTGAGAAATGATGTCGAATACAATATTTTTTGCTCAACCTAAGAACATAAATTTTAATTTTACTGAGATGAAAAGTAATGATTTCCTATCTATTCGATAGATGGCGCTGAATGACTGATAAGTGACAATTCAAAATATTTTTTTTTCAATTCAAAAATTTGCCGTCTAGCCCCCCTATTTTTTCACAACGCGCGATAAGGAACTTCGTTCCAAAATTTTTTTTTGAATTTACAGCCTCATTTTTGGAGAAGACTATAATCTAACTGACATCAGGGTTTGGCCATTAGAAAAGTAGCAGTGGTCATAAGCTCTGGTAAAACTACGGAGAAAATTTTATAGGTTTGTTTAGACAAAATATTTTGTAATTAATACTAGTGCTGTTAATTGCTAAATACAACCAAAACAGTTCAAATAGTTCCGATTTCAAACATTGTAAAATGCAAACGTGTTAAATTAACTGTAAACTATTTAGAATTATGGATGGTATCGTTAAAGATAATTAGATGTTACTAAATTGTATTTTTATTAATATTTAATGGCTACAATGTATACTTTTATTTTTTATAATGAACGTGCAGTCAGCATTAGAAATCTTTGTTACAGTTTGAGCGTGATTGTCAGTGTAATAGTATTTGCACGGATAGCGTAGTGGTTATGGGTCCGATCCCCACATGGGACGACACTTTGTGTGATCCACAAATTGTTGTTCTGAGTCTGGGTGTTCTTTGTGTCCGTTTCATGTATGTTTGTAAAGTCCCCGTGACACAGGATTTATTACAAGTGCGGGAGTTGTCTTTAAAAAAAATCTACATAAGAGGTCATATTTCTAACAATTTCAGTCTTTGTTTTTGCTGGCTTTTATGGTTACGTTTTATTATGAGCCATATAAAGATATATGTTGCTAGCATTTAAGTTGATATACCTACTATAAACATGTCCTGTACTCACATTCAGATTCACTCGACTTACAAACCTGAGCTCGCAGGTTTGATTCGACTCCGCACAAGTATTTGTGTGCACGGATATGTTTATTTAAGGTGGCCTGGTTGATGTGTAAATTTAAGTCTTTACAAAAAAAAAAAGATTTTTCATCCGTATTCTACAACACATATAAACCTAATACAAAGTACGATGAGTTTGTGTCTACATTGCGTCTTTTAACAACGTCTCTGAACATTTTTTATTACATAGTTATATGAAAAATAAATCTTAGCTCAACATCGTAGACATTTAGGTATTTGAAATAAAAACATAGGTCTTGTACGTTTGATTACATAGTGCTCCTTTAATAGGAAACATCTACGAACTACGTAGGTCTTGTAAACCCAACAATTACTAGGTGTTTTTCTTCAATTCCCAACACATCTGAACAATGTTAGTTATGACAATAAATCATTTACATATTATTATGTTGTCTAACTTGCTAAGTGTTGCCTAAAATTTGTTACAGATGTCTGTGCTAGTTTAAGTTTTCATTTTATAGTTTGTAGTATTTGGAAAAAGAAGGAAAACTTGAAAGAAACCCTTTACCAACCCGTCTGGCCAGAGTGGTATAATAGGCTAAAACCTCCTTTCTAAGGAGAGGCATATGTCCAGCAGTGGACTATTAAAGGCTGTTGATGATGATGAATATTTGGAAAGATGATGCTTTTAAGATGGTTTAGAATTTGTTACATGCTACGAGTACATAATAAGAAAAGAACTATAAAAGAAAAACGGTACTTAAATATTAAACTAATTATAGAATTTCTTCTACTTTTTATTTTATTGACACACTATTTAATTACTTAGGCTTACGCCTAAAAGAAAGTTGCCTATTAATTAGCCTTTAAGTAACAGAATGAAATATTGAAGACCAATATTAACTTTACATTTTAAACTGAACTAAACTTCAGAGTTATCGGTATTCTATTATGTTTTACATAACCGAATACCGATAACTCTGAAGTGATATTACCAACAAATCGGTATTAAGCATTTTTCGTTGCTTTACACCAAGTGAGGGAGGGTATCGAAGTGCAAACCTCTGCTTCTCCACCTAACTTCTGAGAAGAGGGTGAGAGAAATGAAAGGGTGGCAAACCACGTGTGTCTCTTTAGTTGTAGGTAGGAGGTGGTAGTCACTTAACATCAGGTGAAGGGTCTCCTTGTCTGCCCACTTATACCGCAAAAATCTATCCGTAAATTACGAGTATCACCACACTCGTACATTTATTCATCTGAAAAATAACTCACTTAAATTACTTAATAAACATTAATGCGGATAAAGACTAATAAAAGTTCCTCTGTCTTCCAAAGGCCAAAGTTTTAATTACACAGCGATAGAATTCACCAGAACTTAATGTTCGTCAGTATCACAATCGATAAAAGTTACACGTTATTCCTCAGAGTACGGTATAATTTACTATAGAACCAAACTTCCCTTTGTGCTCCCGGAGGATTGCTATCACGCCTCCGATGTTGTTTAATTAATTTTACGCAGTCCTGCTATGTTTCTTCAAAGAATACTCAGCTACGACTCCTTTTTTGGTAGCTTTTTAATGTTCAGTGGGAAGTCCACTCTAAGGTTACATGATTATTAATGCTTTAACTTCTTTTTAAATGAATTGGAGGTCAAACGAGCGAACGGGTCATCTGAAGGTGAGTGATGACAGCTACCCTTATGGGCATGGACACTTATGACTGCAACTCGAGAGTCACACGTGCATTAACGCACTTTGCCCTCCCCCCATTAGGTGAACTGATTTGGGAACAAGTTTGGGAGGCTATGGTAATGCTCGGTAAAAAAAAAGGTGTTCGATGATTAAGAATATAGTAGGTTTGGCGTTAAACAATTATGTTTGGCGAGTAAAAACTTTAAATCTTAGATCTAAGCTACTATTGTGAATTAAATAAAAAAATAAAGGTTTTCCTATCCGTATAGCAACAATACCTTTCTTTTAATTCAAAGCTGTGTATTTTAATAAGTAAATAAACACAGTAAAATTGTCCTAATCATCATTCCCTTTCTTTAAATTCATCTGGGGTCGGCGCAATGAGTTTTTTTCTACCATTCTCCTGTATCACTCGAGAGATCACTGCTTACTTCCTTTCTAGCTATATCGTCTTTCACGCAATCCTTCATTTCTATATTCATTAATATTAAATATCACGAAAACAGTTTGCTTTAAAACTCATGCCGATTTATCACGTACCTTTTCTGCAGTCTCAAATAAATATTCTTAATTTATTAGTTTCGTCACTGTAAGATTCTATTGTAGTAGTGTAAACTATGTCAACTGTTTATTATACTTACATTATTTTGCAGTATAGATTTAAATGTTTTTCTATATTGACGCAACATCACAACGAATCCCGGAAAGAACAGCTAGAAGCGTTTTAAACAGCCTCATTTTACGTACCACTAGTCGGTCACCTCACCTACTAGGGAGCAAAATGTACCAACCTGCCACCATAAGATTAAAAGACATAAATATTATAATTTGGTTTATTGTTTTTTGAAAAGTTGGTTTATATTGAAAGGATAGGCATGAAGGGAAGGGCATAGAAGAAAAAGGATATTATTAGGAATGTAACTTCCCGGAAAGTTCAAGCCTTTTAACTGTATACCTACCTAATTACATATCAACAAAAAACAACATTTTCGACATACATTTTTAGCTACTCAAACAAACCTAAACATTAAGAATTCTTCCAAAACAATTAACCTGTTTTAAATTTTCTACAACGAAATTAAATTAAATATTCAGTCTACATCTGACAGCCTAAGGCCTAATTTACAACTGATCCCAAAGTGATACAAAGAGTAGCTCACCATTCTAGTTTTGTTGTTTTCCTTGATGCCGAATGTTTTAATATTTAAATTGTTTATTTCAAAAGGGTTTGGTTTCATTTTGCTTTGGTTAGGGTCGGTATTCGTTATGTGGGGAATTTCTGAAAATGTTTAGTTCATTTTTGTTTTTATTTTTTTACTGGAAATCGGTGACCGTTTATAAAATTAATTACTTAAAATTCTTATACATCATCATCCTTTGTCCTTTGACCAATGTTATTTGTATTAAGCGCAATGCGTAACATTGCAAAAGGTACGTTTTTAAGAGAAGGAGGTAAATTAGGCTAAAAAAATAGGTTAAAGTTTGGAAACGTTTTTGTTGACGGGGTGAAAAATCCCTTCGGATACTAGGAATATGAGATGGTTCTACGAAAAACTGCCGCAACGTCAGGCCTCAGGCGCTCTACTCTGGGATGCTTCCCTAATAGCAAGAGTAAGGGGCACCGCAAATGGCTCGAAGTGGCCTGAGCCGCGAATATGTGTACCCGTCCCATGATTAAAGGAAGCTAGAACCAGCGTCATAAACTTTGCATTTAGTTATTTACATCTTTAACAATTTATTCAAATTTAAAATAATATATATTATGTTAAATATAATGTATATTATGTTTTTTTTTGCAAAAACTTTAAGTAGTACCACCATTTAAAGCTATTTAATTGACAGTTATATTGATAACTGTAAGTTATATAGTTTGAAATTAATAAACATATACATACATTTGTTCTGTTTCATCTTATCCTAAAATTCTACCATAAAATAAAAATAAATGTGTTCTCGTGTATACATAATGTACATACACATATGTTACACGAGCGACAAAATTAAAAGATTCGGTGATCCCCTGTGATGAAGTACTGGCAAGGATTATACATAATCTCATACAAAATCTGTCAAAGTTAAAACGTTTTGACTTTCCCCACCACTCAGTGCTAAACTTTAAATCATTGAAGTCCTTAATATCTCTAGCACAATATAACTTTAAAAGTTAGCTTAGATTAATGATAGACAAGAAACACAGTGTCTAACTTTCAGGGCTGAATTGAAACAAGAGTAGTTCATCTTACGACAGCCTTGTTAGAATATCTTTCTTTTTAATTAAAGTTCTTAACACTTCAGCGTGGCACAGCGAGGTTATTTGATATTATAGCTCATCGGAACAGTCATTTACGACACTCTAATGCGCAAGCTCATAGTTTCAAGAATGTTTAATCAAATTTTAAGATCGTTATGTATTCCTGGTAAATATTTTAGTTAGCTCGAATCAAAATATCACTTGAAACACCTTTTGATACTTCAATATATGTATATTTTCTTTTGAGACAGCATAAAATCAATTTGAGCAAAAAGTATTGGTCCGGAACTTTAGGTTATCTTTCGTACTAAAACTTTGCCGAATTGTGAAAGATAAATGTTTTTCTTTTAAAATAGAGTCTAAGAAAGTGAAAAGGCAGTTATAATTTATTTGTTTTATTCGTCTTTTGAAGGCAATCCGTCCATTTCTGTCAGGTTTATTTCTTAATGTCAAATGTGTACGTATGTCTGGAATGTAGGTCTTAAATATTTTATTCTGACTCTGATTTTGTTATATTGATCTAAGGAAAATCAGTGTATGTGATTAGATTTTTTCCATTTATATATTTTCAAATACGTTCTCAAAGATTTATGGCAAACCAATCCGTACTAAGCCAGCTTAGTAGAATGTGGCCTTTACCCTTTTATATTGATTCCGAAGCCTGCCACTGCGGCGGTTAATAAATAGGGCCGATATTGAGTAAATTATTAGTAGAGTATATAGTATTTGTCCTGTATTTTCTACTTTACACCTAATCATTTGAAATTACACCCATTAATTACAGTTTTAGTCGTGTTAAACTTACTGCCACATTCCTAAGTTCCGAGGCATATTATAATTAAATCCAAAGATTAGTGCGATTTAAAAAAGAATAGACTATTCAGGCCTGTTGATCCAGTGGTGGTATCTATATTAGGTATGTATTTAGCAATATTGTTTACGATGAACGCAAAAGCAAATGGATCAATTGATTGATCTTAGTTAAAATTTTTGTAGATCCTCAATAGATGGCGTTGTACTGGCTTTCTAGATCGCGGTATGGTTGCGTTACCGTCTTGTACTTAAAATATAATATTTTTATAAATAAAGAGGTCGATCAAGATCGGAATACAGCGCAGTGGTTTCATTTCACAAACCCTACTCTAGTGTTCTCATTCAGTACACCCACCGGTCGACCGCAGATCGCGACACCTAGCGGCGTGTCGAACATATGGTCCTTCGAGCCGGATCGATTATTTTTGTGCGAAGCTAAGCGTAGCTCGCGCCCCCTAGCGTGTAACCCGTAGTGGATCGCTACACAAAGGTACACGACCCCAACAGTGAGTGCGACCAGAAGAGGGCACCACTAGTCACTTGTGCGAAGCGAAGCGTAGCTCGCATCCCCTGTGTGATCTGTAGTGGAGCGCTACACAAAGAAACACATACCTCAACAGCAAGTGCGACCAGAGGGCGCCACCAGTCACTTGGAACGTGTTGGATTATAGTGAGTCAGTGCAAACTGTGAGTACACTTTATAAATA